TGGAATCTGAATGTACGAGTCTACTCAGATTTTAAATTGAATGTATTCAGAAAAAAAAATTGATTTTTGCGAGCTTCACATCTGACTGGTTGAAACTCATGTTGGTGCATCTGCGGTACGTCAATGTTAAAATTTCAATACTCTCAATATTGTCAGTATAGTGTCACTAAATCAGTAAGTTCGAATTACGTTCGAACTTCGAATTTATCAAGAAACTTTCGTTTCACATGAGAAACGTGCAAACTTATAATAAACTGGATGTGAGGGTTCCAAAGCTATCTCGTCTGGGACTACTCTCGACTTACATTTATATTTTCCCACTACCCATAATATCTCATATAAGATGCCAATAAACATCTCAATCTCATGTTCTAATGAATATTGTGATGTTCGAATAATCTTGTGATTTCACCAACATTCAAACTATCTGTGTATAATTATTTGAATGAAGGTGAAAGTGGAGGGGAGGTATTCGCCCCACTCACATTGCTTTGATATTGTTGTATTCCGACATTTGTGAAATGTATCTCTTTTATTAGAAACTTTCACCAGTTCTATTCAAGCTTCAAAATATTTATTGAATGATTTCTTCTCCCTATTGTTATTTTCCTACTAGGAAAATGTTTATTATTAAATTATTGGTGATTTTATTTAAGATATCGACTGTGATTTCTTCGTTTCCACACATTCATGGTTTCATCCACTTGAAGACACTCATCCTTTGGTTATGTTTCATTTCAGGAAAAGGTTGGAACTTCATCATTTTATTATGAAAAAGTCATGTCTGGATCTATTTTTTACACTCAAATGAAATATTTCTATATATATAACCTCTATAACGATCAAACTTATTTCCAAAGAATTATAAATAATAGTGTTGTTAATGAATAAAATAATATTTAATATTTAACAAAAATGTTACAAGTAATGAAATTGAAGACGATATGACAGATTTCGAAATGAAAGCAGGTGCATCTACATAATTTTCAAGTAATCACATAAAATATTGTTTCTTCTGAATAACTTCTATTAATGATCTGATAAGACTCCTACATTCAGATTTCATCAAAATAAAGCCATTTGAGTAATAAAACTTCCAAAATGTTGCTTCTACATTGGTAGAGGTTTTTAGGTAGACGAAGTTCCCCATCGCCATATATGTTACGAATGTTACGATTTCGTTTTGTCACTTATATATACACGAGAGCTTTATTTGTCGAAGTAAATTTGACAATTTATTGAGACATTTGTTCCCTGGAAATTGACATAGAGCGAGTGATTTTTTCCTGTCAGTTTTTTGAGTTTTTTCTAAAGGCAACTGATATTGAATCATAAATGTCAAGTTTACTTTGACATAAAATGATTGAGTATAATTCCGCTAGACAATTTAATGAATATATCGCCTCGCGACTTTTGACCACGCAAAATTGGGAAAAAATACATAAAAGCCATCAAGATTCCTCCACAATTCTTGTCTTGGTTTCTAATGTTTCTAATTCATTGTTTAATGAATTTTTTTTATCTCTGGAGCGCATGATAGAAAATTTTTATAATAATTGTCGCTGGAAATAGGGCAAACCCGTTTTGCTGTCATCATGACAAAATCACAACTGCTAATAGAATTTTTCTACTCACATAACTAAAATGGCATTTAGCGTACGGATATGTACCACGCTAAATGATCGATTAATCACGGATTGTCGATCTGTGATTTATTCAGAATATTAAACACGTTACCATGGCAACACAGTTCATTAAACACAGCTTCAGTTATTTGAGACATGTCTGGCCTGTCAATTGTATTAACTGTCAACTGTTATTTTCAAATTTTGTATCAGAATTATTCAAACAATATTCGTTTGTATCAGAATTCTACATTAAAAATATATGCGAAATGTAGACGAAAGTGAAATCGAAGAGAATGTTCTGGTATATACTTGCATATCTCCAAGAAGTGTAAAAAAGAAGCATCCATCTTTGAGAACAATTTATTTATTCTGCACTAAGCATGACAATAAACGTGAAACTGCAAGGTTAGTAAGCAATGGACAGGACACATCTACAACCAATATCACTTATACGTGTCTCGCTGGTTGCATGCAGTTGCATGTATTATGTTCTCAATTCCCATTCCTTTTGAATTATTTTGTTGGTTAGCAGGATTAGCAGGTATGTTAATGTAAATTTCGGAGTTCGTAGAAAAATCATATAGTATGTAACGCGTTTATAAACTCTTCTAGACACTCGTTTATTAAACGCTCGCTCCGCTCTGCTCCGCTCGTGCTTCAAATACTCGTTACTGAAAGGACGTTTATAACACTTGTTACATAATATACTATTTTCATACTCACATGAATCGAATTGCCAAAGTATAATAAAAGATTTATAGGAATATGAATCTGATCTGGTCTTCTGGTGTCAAAAATCTGTGCAGGACTGCTGATACAGACCACCAGTACCAGTACGGATACGTATGAATGTTTGAAAAGACAAGGTAGACCGCAGTGGCCACAAAGCTTCTGTTTACTTCGGTCATTAATGCCGTATTTGTATACATTCACCCATTGTTGTGGCTTCGGAAATATCTCTAAACTGTTGCTCTTTTCTAGGTGCCCCTATGCGAACCATTGTCCGAATCATTTTTGGTGAATAATGTGAGGCCACCGCATAGAAGATGGATTTTTGATATTTTCTATTGAAAACTCATGTGCTTTGATGAATTGTCAGGGAATGTCTTTGTATGCAGTATCTATTGAATTGGTTCGAAGAGAATGTATTTTTCTTTGCAGGTTTGAATGAACCCTTTTTATTACAATAATATATTTCATTCGGATATCTGGCGAAAATTTAATATTTTTTCGTAGAGCTTCGTAGATAATAACACAGGAGAGCATTTATGAATGCTCGCTATAGAATAATATGTCAAATGTATATTTGTATATATTGAGGAGGAATATTCTTAGATATAATTATGAGCTCTCCTAGGATCAAGACATCAGCGTTAGCTGTCAGACATTCTTCAAATAAATCAAGGTATTGCATATTGATCATTCTAGAACACGTGATTTTGACATGGTTTCTTGAGGGGCACACAAACTATCTGTTAGGTTACCTTTGATGAGCATAGCCTTGGCCATCCCTGCCACATCCACAATATAATAACAGTTTCACCAAACAAAATTATGGAAATCTTTCTGGTTCCAACTCGGATTCCAAGGAAAACGATCCCACTTATTCTGGTTTTATATGACAAATCTTGACAAAATATTATGTCTCAATTCTAGAATTTCTAGGCATATACACACATGATAGGTAAAAACATTGTTTCTTATATTTGACTTTCAAGAGTATGCACTCTTTGTCACAGTTAGTATCCACAACTACGAAGCTCATTGCCTTTTGGAAAGCAATGATGACTCCTCCTCCTCTTGATTTGTCAGTTTTTTCTTGATCACGATCCACCCTAATTACTTAATACCTTTCATCAAATAATTCAGAGTTATGAGAACCTCCAGTCATCCAGGATTCTGTTATAACAATTATGTCATACTTGCTTCTATAAAACTCATTAGTCTTTGTACGCAGGCCACGGACATTCTGGTAGTAGATACTGATATTTTTTATTTTGCTTGTTGAGACATGTTTTGAATCTGAGGATCTGCCCAGTTGCTTCATGTTGGCAGCATCCTCCGTTTAGCTAAAAACCGTGACACCATGGCCCCATTGGGCCAAATATCGCGTTTCCAAGCAGACTTGAAGTGATTCTGCTTTATTGTAACTTTCATGGAGGCATGAGAATTAGGAAATTCTGAGGGATGTGTTTCACATATAACCTCCGGGAAGATTGGTTTTAAAAGATTTTCCAAATCAGCTGGTTTAGTGGCAGGTTGGAGCCTGGTTACATGGAGTGAGATTAGTTTAGGTACTGCTTGTACTCCTAAATCTTCCTCATTTTGTCCAATAACAAACTTGCGGGTTCTCCAGCGCTCAACATGTTGCCATGGTTGTCCTTCGAATTCTTTGTATTCTTCATCTACCATAGTGCTTTGTTGGCCTAGGCCTAAAATTTCTTTAATTTTGTTATTTGTCTCAGCTTGTAATATTGCAAGATTTAGCTGCTGAAGCTGAACTTGGTTTTTGTTTTCACCATTCCTCATTTGTGGTTGTTTATCTCCAAGATTGACATTCGTGTGACTGATGTCAGTGCTGACATTTGGACATTGACTGTTGCCACTTTAAATTTGAGAGCTGACAGGTTTGACAGCTGACAGGTTCACTCTGTGGTCAATAGTTCCAACAGCTGATACTGATTTTGACATCGACCTATCTATCGACTCTGTCGATGTGATTGTTGAATATGCTTGATTGGTATTTTTATTTGGAACGTGACCTTGGGTCTCTAATTTCCTTTTTTTGCATCCCGATTAAGGTTTTTCGTATTGATTTAGCTTCTCACTCTGATTATGTAATTTTTCTTTGAGCAAGTTGCAGTTCTCAGCAAGGATAATGTTTTTCGATTCTACCTCCTTTAACAAATGTTTCAGTAGTCTGTTTTCCACGACTAAAATTGATTCAGTACTCACGTCCACTTCTTCATGTTCTGTATTTTGTTGTTCATGACTGCAAGTCGCATTTTTTGCTTGTGCTTCTTGCATCATGCAACTCGGGTGAAATATTCCACAGCACTTTTTGCACTTCACACTATTTGTCACTGTTTTTTTGCAGTATTTACAGTCATTTTTGATAGGAGCTCGTGGCGGCGAACCACTCGCATCCGCCATCTTGGAAGAGCCTTCCAAATTGAATAAACATATAAACATAACATAATAAATGAATGATGGATTTTCACTTCATTCACTCCACAAGTGAGCTGGGGCAGAAGGAACGGCTGGGGCAGCGTGCACATGGGACAGAATATACCTTATGTACTGGAGCAGAGTAAACATTCAGTACTGGGGCAGAGTATACATTCTCTACTGGGGCAGAGTGTGCAGCTCAAGCTAGGTGAACTGGAGTTTCATGCTTCTCCACGACTGTGTTGAACATGTCGTGGGTATCAGCGGAATAGTGGACAGTACGAAGGGTGCTATATCGGGATCAGCTAAGGAGCAGTAGCTCTTCACAGAGTCACCATCACGTTGTTCGTATTTGGGGTGAGCCTCTTGTTGGTAAAGAAGAATGTAAGCATCCCCACTGACGAAATTGAAGAAATATAAATGTCTGCAATAGGCTGTGTAGTGTCCGCTGTAGGTGGTACCGCTGTGGTTTGAGATAGCGTAAAGATTGTAAGGACATGGTACGATATCTTCAGCTGCATAGGGGCTCATGCCCAAGCCGATCAAGGGGAAGTCGACGAATGTGTTTAGTTTCTCACTGAACTCTACAGTTTGCGAGAAACGTTTCAGATGTATAACTAAAATTTTTGGGAACTTGTAGATGAATAATGATTTCATAACATAACATTTTCTTTTCTCTTTACACATCGAGCAAGTTGGTTTTTCCTCGCCGTCTAAAATCTCAACACTCGTAAACGAGTCCAAGCAATGAGACAAGCTGAGTTAGCCTGATCGCTGCGGTATCAGTAAAAACAACTCCCAAAATGGGTCGAATGTCTCCGAACAATTGTCACAGAATGAAAATAATTCGTTAAATTCTTCACCTTCTGAGTATGAAACTGAATGAATAATGAAGTTCCTTTCATGGATTTTTGGCTAGTGGTTCTAATGATTATCGTTGCAACTTATCAATTTTGCGAACGTTTGGGAATTAGAAGACCATCCAGCCGTTCGCTGAAAGATGTCCAGGCTCACGCCTGTTGTTTTTCTTTTCTTTCTTTGCTAGTGAAGTCGACCCATGTCTCGTCGAATGAGGTATTTCTCCATGTCTATGCCTGACAATGTTCACCTTATATTGCTAGTGTGTGAGAGAATTGGATATAAAACTGAGAGAGTAGTTAAGAATTTAATTTTGGTCCCTGGGTAATAACGATATTCTTCACTATATACCTTCTACCTAATTGGTGTATATAAATAACTATTATTGAATAGGCAATAATCTTCTGATTTTTTGATATCAACACTGATATTGCCTATATTTCAACTAATGAAAAGAATTTTGTATTCACTTCGCCGTTACTTGATGGAAATCCATAGTAAATGTAAAATAGTGAATTGAAAAAAAATCTTATCGTTCGACAAGTTTTTTACACAATACAAGGTAGTGTATTGAGAATATATTTTCTATAATGATAAACAAATTGCATTATTTATATTTACCCTAAATCTGTCTCAATAGTTCCTATAATTGGTTCATATCAATTCATTATTCTTGACTTTTGGGGAGTCGCTTTAATTTTAGAGGTAGCGATACAAATTTCACGAAATACAAAATATCTTCATTTGTATCATCAGATTATAATCTAATATGATGGTAATAATATAACTTCTACCTATCATCCACAATATTTTTACGATTTGTAATCAAGCAGGGAACTGAAGATGATTATCACAAACTTAGATCTCCTCACAAAAAGATATTCTTATTTTCGTCTATTAGTCTGACTCAAGACAAATGGAATTCTCGTTGGAGATAGATAAACTTTGTGCTTTTTATATTTCATGCGTTCATATTTCCTGAATATTCTGTTTTATCACATCCAGAGTTGTTAGCCATCAACATTTTGAGATGATATATTTTCTTTTCAGTATTTGAATTTGAAATAATAAATCAAATGAATTAATCGGCAAGAGTATCAGGAATCTATAAGACATAAAATTATAGCGAAAAAATTATCCCAAGTTGGCGATCTGATCTAAAATTTCAAAGAACAGTCTAAGGTCTGAGGTGACGTTTCATGCAAGCGTCATGAAGACATTATAGGCGTAGATCGGGTTGTAAAATTTTGATAATGATATAAATTTCATCATAATTTCGGAGTGCAATCTTCGTAATGAACTTCTAATGGCTGTATTCTGTCGGCACTACAAAGGACTAACCTAGTATATATTGTGTATCATTCAACATAACGAAGGTAACCCAAGAATGGATACTTTCGAAATGATATCCTCAAAAATTATTCCCAACAATCAAAATATAATTGGCCTGGGTGAATACCACATTTGGATGAATGTTTAGTTTATTCCAAATGATTGGATCGGTTTCAGAGTGAGATTATCTTCATTTTTGATATGCACGCACGAAAGTGTATATATCTATTCATATATTTAGTGAATTCGGAAATCTTAGGCCAGATTGCTGAACCTCTCTGTCAACTTAACCTTCCAGTAGTCGCGCCTTGAAAACGACATAGTCTGTTGCTGCGGAGTCTGACTCCGCAATAGAGAATTTGAGTGGTTTGAACATGAAGACTTGAATTTTTCCATAGATTTCATCAGTATGCCTATGCACATGAATATCTCTACGAAGTAAAATGTCAAAATTGCAATAAAAATATATTTATTTAAAAATACAGAACCCAAAATCAACATAAGACAACTATCGGAGATTTGATAACTATAATTCGAACAACAACACTATAATTTGAGGACAAACTGAGAATGTTTCAATCCCAAACCACCAATGACTCATCAGCAATCTCTGCAAATGAATTTTTCACATGTACTACAATGAAATTGGGGGTGTCTTTTTGTTATCACAGTAGCATTGATCATGTGTGTTTACAAAACGGTATTTCATGAAATATAGTTAATCAAAGAAGACAAAATTTTTGCCTAAGACGCCCAAAATAGCTGCAAAGTATAACTGCAATATGTAATATAACTGAAACGTCTAAGGTCACTGCGGAGTACGACTCCGCACTACGCTATGAAATTCAAAAACGGAACAATTTTGCCGTCGTCATTTTAGGAAGGTACTGAGTGCGGCGGAATAAGAAGAAATGAAGTATATTCGAGAGCACTCACGTTTTATATTCGTGCGGAGTGATACTACTGATACTCCGCGTGCGACTACTGGAAGGTCGGGAATCAACTCTTCTATTCTCATCAGCAAAGGCATACGTTGCCATGGATGAACAAATCATATAATTAATCGTCTATCAAGAATGCTTTATATACACAGTGAAAAAAGAAATAACACCAGTTCACACTAGCTTATACCCTTGGGTGTCCCTTGAGGTCCTGATTATTTTATTCAGAATCAACACTGATATTTTGACCATCTTCATAGGGTGTTATTTGTTCTTACATACAGTCAAGAACAACACTAGAGTGTCATGTTATTCAAACAAGATGTTAGCTTTTTTATATTTTATTTAAGTGTTAACTTGTAAGAATAAACAATCTTAATCTTGTACCACAGTCATCATTCCACTACCGCCTATTTCTATGCTCCCCTTCTCCTCACACGGAACTAATGTCATCTGTCATAAGCTGACATCTGACATCTCCTTTTTTTTATATATGAATAAACAGGAAATAAGTCAGTAACTGACATAGTCTGACAAATAAGAGGGCTTTTTAATAGTCCTTCTGGATCTCTGAGAAACATTATCATTCATCACATTAGATTGGTTGGACATTGTTGAACTATTATGTGACAATGATGTAGCATTATCATTTTCTATTGATGAGGTCATATCATTATGCACATCATTATTATTAGTAATTTGTTCATTATTAACACTAATTTCAGGATCCATTCTAAGGGTTTCAGTGGGTGAAGCTTTATATAAATTAAACCTATTTCTCTGAACAGTTTTTCCACTTGGTAACATAATATCATAGGACCTTGGTCGTTGACCTTCACTTAGTATTTTACAAGGAGTTCTGTTATGGACATTATCTCTTAGGTACACAACTTCACCTGAACTGAAATTACTTAAATTGGAATTCTTGTTCCTATCATGAAAGTATTTATAATTTCTTTGTTTTTGTTCTAAATGAGATTTTACATCAGCCTGACTATTTTTAAACACAAATGTCTTCTGGGTTGGTAAGAAAGCATTTATATCATGACCAAACATCAACTGTGAAGGTGATTTATTCAACAGTGAATCAATGGGAGTATTTCTGTACTCCTTGAGTGCTATATAAGGATCTCTACCACTATCATCTGCTTTCCTTAATAACTGTTTACATGTTTGGACATATCGTTCTACCATCCCATTAGACCTTGGATAGTAAGGACTTGAAGTGACATGTTTGAACTTCCATTTTTCTGCAAACTCTTTAAATTTATAGTTATTGAATTGTGGACCATTATCACTATTCAATATTTTAGGTATTCCATACCTAGCAAAATTGGACTTCAGAGAAGTGATAACACTATCAGTGTTCTCTGAAATGAGTTCCTTAAACTCTACATATTTACTAAAGTAATCTACCAACAATAAAAATGCTTTTCCTTTGAAGTAAAATAGATCAGTACCTATTTCTTCCCATGGACCATCTGGTAGTTTACGAAGTAATAAATTTTCATATTGATGTTTCTTTTGGAATTTCAAGCATGTCAAGCAGTTTCTGACAATATCTTCTATTTCCTTAAGCATATGTGGCCAATAAAGTACCTTTTTAGCTCGTATTTTACATTTTTCAAGACCTAAATGATTATAATGTATGAGACTTAACATTTCTTTTCTAAGTACTTTAGGAACTACTACAGTTTCATTTCTGAACAACAGACCATTGGTGGTGAACAACTCATGTCTCAAGGAATGATAAAATTTTAAATGATCAGGAATTCTGTCTTTCTCAGGCCATCCTTCCTGAACATACTTGATTAATAATGACATATCAGAATCTTCTTGTGTTGATTTTTTGAACAAGTCTAACTTACTAGAAGAAAATGACAGATTTTTCATTATCATACAAACATGCACTTGCACTTCTTGATCTATATCAGTAATATCACAATCAGATTTAATATAAGATCTTGATAATGCATCAGCAATCAAAAGCTCTTTGCCTGCTTTATAATGAACTTCTATATCATATGGTTGTAAACGTAATCTCAATCTCTGCAATCTGAGAGGTGTGTCACAAAGAGATTTTTTAAAAATACTTTCCAGAGGTTTATGATCACTTTCCACTAGAATTGATTTACCATATATATATTGATGAAATCTCTCACAACCATGAACTATTGCAAGCAATTCTTTTTCAATCTGTGCCCACATTTTCTGATTTGGAGTTAATGCTTTAGAAGCATAAGCCACTGGCAAGTTATTTTGTAGCAAGACAGCTCCTAAACCTACACTACTACTATCTACAGACAATACAATTGGTTTGTTTGCATCATAATATTGCAATATAGGAGTATTAGTTAGCATCTGTTTGAGTTTTATAAAATCACGTTTCTGATTTTCTGACCAAACAAATTCTACATTATTTTTTAACAATTGTCTCATAGAATCAGTAACACAAGAAATGTTTGACAAAAACTTACTAACATAAGTAACCATTCCTAACATAGTCTGCAATTCTTTTTTAGTCTTTGGTTCATCCATATCCATAATTGCTCTAAT